TGGGTTATATGGAAAACCAGCTTTACTGACACTGAAGCCCTAGGCAGTGATCCATGCTCGGCAACACTCAAGCAAAGCTAAATAGGACACAGGGGCCCAGGAAGGGTCACAGGCTGTGCTGCCGTTTGGAAAGTGCACGTCATGTGACACATGGCATCGCTAATATTCAGCATTTCGTGCTGTGGCACGAAAAATGTTAAAAGGGTTGACTTACTTAATCTTTTTATGCATTTATGTTCATGCTGACTAATTTTTATTATTAGAGTTATAATAGAGTTATTGCTGTTTACTGTTTTAAAAAGCATATTATTTTTATTAAGATGCCAGATTCCAGATATGTTAAAGGTTGCATGTTGGCGTCCAGTGCGCCGGCTTGTGTTTGGCTATAAACTTTAAAGTGGTTTTTGACAGAGTTTTGTTTTTATGACAGGTGCTCTGATCCTGTGAAAATGTGAGAAACTTTTGCACGGCTGTCATCGGAAGCATCACATAGAGTTGGATGTCTCGAGACCACTTTTACGTGGTTTTGGTCTTGTCTTGGTCTCGCTGTCTCGGTCTTGCTGTCTCAGATCCACGTAGTGGTCGGGAGATTTGGAGTCAACAGTATCCATGACACACAACGTAACGTCCGATAATGTGTCGTGTGCAAAAGCATCAGCTCTAAGAGCCGTGCTTAGAGAGTGCTTAGTAGTGAATCAGAAGAGTCGACTCCCATTGAGCGAGAGCCGGCTCCTCACTTAATTTCCTTTCGCTGCTCAGCTCTCACACAGTGGCTCAGCTATGCTCCAATCCCTCCATATTGTGGCCAATAGCATGCGAGGATGTAGGATAATATCATTATGTGAAAAACAGAGGGTGAGAGACGCGACAGTCAAGTGGAGCGTGCGAGTGCATCGCAAAAACACATAAATATGCCTGACACCTGTAAACGAAGCAGCATCTGGCTGCAGTTTAAAGACTTTTTTGACTCGGTCTCATCTCGACTTTGTCTTGGTCTTGTCTTGGTCTCGATACCCTCTGGTCTTGGTATTGTCTTGGTCTTGGTTTAGGCGGTCTTGACTACAAGTCTATAGCATAGAGCATATACTATAGTTCTTACGGATGTTATTAGTGACGTGAAGTGACGTCATGTACCGGCTCAGCTGGGTTCTGTGTGTGTGAGGCTTCTCTCTGAGTTCTTTAGCTTCCCCACACAGTCCAATCACATGCAGGTGAGGGTAACTGAGAGACGTAGGTGTGGAAGCACATTTGTGGAGTTGGGTGATAAGCTCAAACTCACCGAGACCTCCTGTGGTGGTAGTGAGACGACGCCTGCGCGATGTGTCGGTTATGTTAGATGACGTGATGACTCTAAAGTGCAGAGCTGTGGTGAACAAAGATCCATGTGAAAGTGTGTGTGAGGTAAATGTGCTTTGATAGACGTCACCTCGCCCAGCCACAGGCGTGCACGTCCTGCCCTCAGGCCACTGCATGTGGGCAGAGCTGTGTTAAAGTCACCCCATGACGGGAATATCCCATCGAAACAATGGCGGCGCTGTGTGAATGTAAGAGGCAGCCCATGGCTGAATGTGGAAGACTTCATGAGGTCCAGTCTGCCAGCTCTTGCTCTGCATGCAGGAATTCCTGCCAGACTCAGTCCAAACATCCACACGTCTCTCTGCATTCACTGGCTTGTTGGCTCGACTCAGGGTCGTCATTTTAAACGCTGATGTGCACTTCTGATCCTCCGTGCCGAGACTCTCATTCACGTCGCTGTGAATAAATCTCTTAGCAGCATCTTTCTGTCCACTTGTGATGTCCCTCCCACCGCTTTAGCAGCTGGCAGCAGGAACACTGGAGGCTTTCCTGGCTGGCCTGCCTCAGCGTGTTGTCAGGGCCGACTTCGATGCCTCAAAAAGAAGCCTTGCATGTCCCAGCCCTGCAGCCTGAGCTCACCTGAGCTGCTGTCATCTCATTTCCTTCTTGCTCAGCAGTCTTTTATCTTCTTCCCTGGACTCCCTGTCAGCATCTCCCACCGTCTTAGCTCTGCTTGTATTTCTACTCTCTGAGCTCCGTGTGACTGGAAGAGAGCTGACAGACTCCAGTAAACCCTCTTAGCAACCTTGCCCATTAGCTCTGTCATGCGTTCAGCTCACCTCACCTCCCCGACTGAGGCTATTATAGAACAGAGTCGGCAGCCCGTGGCGACCTGGAGACGGCTCCAAGGCGTTTTTGACTCACGGCGAATCAGTGATGATATAATAATGATTAGAGACGAGATGATAAAGTACTGAAGAGGAATGTTCTTGGTCAGTATGTTTTTGTTGTGAAGGTGACGTGTGCTCCAGTTTATGTGAGCACATGGAAACCCGGTTCATGACAGAATAATTAAGAGCAGCTCCAGCTGAGGCTACATGGACTGAGCTGAGTTCACTCAGTCTGTGTTAACCTGTCTGAAGATGAGTTATGGATTAGCTGGACTGTACAGATGTGTATTGTGATGGATTGTGCACATTACGCATGCATTGAGCTGTTTGTTCACATGTGCAGGTGGCATGGCTGCATTCAGCACGTTAGCGATGCTGCAGAGCTAATAAAGAGCTCTGCATCTATATTTAGTACATCACGCTTCCTGAATAAATCTCAGACTCTATATGATGAATTACCTTCTCTCTGACTGAAGATAGATTAAATATGCCTTCCTTTTATATATGCTCATCTCATCCCAGTGTGCCGATATTTAGAGGTTAAGCCTAAAACCAAAGCAGGCTGTAAGTTTCTGTGTATCCAGGCTTTTCTCTTCACATGTGGATGGAATATGTAAACAACACGTCCTCCGTACTAACACTTGCATACAACCACAGATCAGCCACAACAATAAAATCCCCTCTAACCACCAGAGCAGCTTTTATTCTCTCTACGGGGTCCCAGTAGGAGTGGCTCTGGGTTAACACTTGTCCTTTCCCCACAAACAGATCGCTGGACTCTACTGTGACAGGACTGTGAATTATTTAAAATCTCATAAAATCAGTTTTTTCTCATTCGTAATGCACAGACATTGGCTAATCATATATCACAGAGCACTTTTTAAATCTGTACTCCTCCTTGTTCCTGCAACATTCAGTATTTTGTGCAGATTAGAAGGTTTTTCAGTCACAATCACACAAACACGCTAGGATCTTTTCTGCTGCTCAGGCGCCTTTCTCACGGCTGCCGTGTCGTACAGATGGGTCACAGATTAGAGAGAACACCCTGAACCTTTAACCCCCCCCTGGAGGTCAACCTGGGGCCCTGCTTTGCTGCGAGTGGCATTTCATTGGCACGGTTTGGGCCTGCGTGTCCTCGAACGGAGAGGGTCACTGCTCTTCAGTACAGCTGTTGTTTATGCTGTAATAAATGAGCCGTCTGGGAGTCTCCCCTCCACAGAGCAGGAGGGGAAAGGTTTGGTGAATCATGTGACAGTATGATTATTAACAGAGCTCAGATCAGTCTGTATCAACTGTTTCTGGACAGAATAACTGCAGCAGATTGTTGTGGCTGTGCGTGTGGGTGCACATGATCCTGGTATAATGTAATATAAACGCTGGTGTAGGGAGATTGTGTGCAGCAGATTTACAGACGCAGTCTGGTTCTTTTGATTCCTTGTGACAGAAAAATAAGTGGTTGTGCAGACATTTTTCTGCAATGCTGTGCAACGCTTTGAGCTGTCAGCATATGGGATGTAGATTAGGTGAGGATTTTGTTCTTTCTGCTTTGTTTTTGTGCAGATATAAACGTCCACGCGGCAAAGCGCTCGTGACAGCTGCCAGCTCGGCTGAACGGGGGTAAATCTGCGGGGCGTGACCCTCCTCTGCCTCTTTCTCTGCCAGGCTGACCTTCACTGCCCCGCCCCCGTTCATCCCACCTGCAGCCTTGGGCTGCCTTCCAATACTGTTTCTGTTGAATTCTGCATGAATAGAAACGAGTTTTGCTTTGATGGATTTTTATTTTGTGAACATTTTTAACTGATGCTGCACTTCGTCGGCGATCTTGTCTTACCTGACTGAACATCCGGGTATCCTGATACTCCAAAACACAAAGCATGTTTTCTTAAATGTGAGAAAGTCGTTTTTTTTTAAGTAAAAACGACTTTCTTCTCGATGTTGGAAAAACACAATCAGCTGACAGCGTCGCATTTTCCACTGGAGAAATGTCTTCCTCCTCTCACCCCAACCAGTCGCAGCAGATGGCCCCGCCCCTCCCTGAGCCTGGTTCTGCCAGAGATTTTCCTTCCCACTGTCGCCAAAGTGCTTGCTCATAGAGGGTCATGTGTTTGTTGGGTTCTTCTCTGTATGTATTATTGTAGGGTCTACCTTACAATATAAAGCACCTTGAGGCGACTGTCATTGTGATTTGGCGCTGTATAAATGAAACTGAATTGAATTGCACAACAGATCGGCTTTCTGAAATTTGATGCCCTGACTCCGTGGATGACCTCGAGACCTTTGCTCTGTGGTCTTCTTTTAGATTTATATCTGTGGAGACTTAAAGGCCAGCCCGAGTGGATTTGATCTCAACCACTCAGTGAGTGTCCTGGACTCTGCTCTGTTTTTTGTTCTTATCCTTGGTGCTGAAATGTAATAAATGTTACTGTGGTACCTGAGTCTCCTGAATGCTTAAATCGACAGTCGATTTCATAAAACATTGGATGTTATATGCTCAGTCTTTGACCTCCAGCTGGTCAGTCAGATGTTTAGTAATCACCTTTCCTTACAGACTCAGACTTACAATCAGTTTGAAATCCTCTGAATTCAAACTCGTTCGACCCAAATCCAAAGCTGCACGTGCAGCGGCAAGTTGTTCATCAGCACACGGCAAATGTCAACCAAAATTGTCGCATTTGCATAATCCTGATGTGGTTTAACTCACCTATGTTAATGTAATCTGCTGAGACCAGGACTGGTGTGATAGTAATTAAAAGTTCCCTCTTTAATAATGTAAATCATCATGTTCATGTTTTAACAGTGGTCTTCTGTCTGCAGGGACTCTCAGCATTTATGGTCACATGAATGTCAGCGCTGCAGGCCAGATGCCGGCGATGGCGGAGCTCGGCGGTGAGAGGTGAGAGTTAATCAACTTTTACGGAGAATAATCACACCATGTGTGATTACACACTTCCTGACAATGGTCACGCTGATTAATACACAACACAAAATCCACCTTTTAGCTGTTAGCTCAGTCAGACTCAGTGATGAGAGCTTTGACTGTTCGTAGATGCTGACGCTGCATGGATGCATCAGAGACGTGACATGACGCTTCTTTTTTATAGTACGAATCAAAACGTTTTCTTATATGTCATCTTACTCCTATACAGGAAACTGTACAGGAGTAAGTGTGGCTCAGCAGCCTTTCAGGTTCATACAACACAGAACTAAAATGCATCATTGACAACAGATATGAAACAGCAAGAAAAGAGGGTGCAGAGGCCAGTTACAAAGTGGCTTGCAGATTTGCGTATATGCAGACGTGTTGTGTGGATGTGTATCAGCTGAGCTGCAGTGGTGAGCTTCACTCTGAGACCTGAATGAATTCACTAATGTTCACATGAAACACTGTGAAACATAACCGACTGCCCAAACGCTTCATAATTAATCTCATTCCAACAGACGCTTCAGTCCTGTAAGTCACACTGAGTATGAAGTGCTCATGGTTTCACCCACACGCTGGTGTCCATTATGTAAAAGCAATATTCAAATGTATTTTGACAGCTCTGGTTTCCTCTTCAGGGACATCCTCATCTTCAGATATTTGGTTTAGCTGAGGAAACATCAGCTAGCCGGGGGTTCTCGCTGCCTCTGTAGTTGTCTTTGCCTCCGGCTTGTGGGTTTGATTAAAACACTGATCCTGCTGAAAGTGCTGGCTGGTCTGTTTTTGCTGTGCTGGGATGCAAAGAGATCATTTTTCTGTTCTTGGTTAACAACTTTTAGCCTGGAGGATGAGAGACGGATGAGACTTTGTTCAGAGCGTCACAGATCCACAGACACAATTCTCAAAGAAGCCAGAGACAGGGAGCGTCAGTCTGGAGCTGGAGCACAGAACCAAGTGAAAGCTGAGGTTTTTACATCTCTACATTAAATATTTCCTCTTTGCTGTGGGCGTTTCTGTGAGAAAACATTGTTGATGGTGTGATTATTCAGTGTGATCTCCACTCTGTGTGAAGCAACACTCAGCACCTCTAACTACACTAAGCTTCTGCTTCCTGCTCCATATTAGTCATAAGGTTTCTAATAATGAGGTGGGTGCATAGATGGTTATCCCACTAAGCTTATCTCACTTTATTAAACACACAAGCTCCACCCACCCCAAAGGTCAGCTGATCAGAAGAAGGTTAAAGAGACCTGCTGATCGCGCGTCGTGTTGTTTTCACATTCAGATATTTCCTGCGTGTCAACAGTGAATCTGAAACTGAAACTACGAATGCTGAACCCAAAGAAGAACTGTGACACAAACAGCAACAGCATGAAATATAAAATGTGGATCCAACATTAACGTTTCCTTTCAGCTTCATGGAAAAAGAGAGTTCATTACTAAACCAGGCACACACAGGATTTGATTCCCTCAGGACGTTTGAGTCAGAATTAAAATGATGTACGAGAAGCAGGAGGTCGCGGTACAGTAGTTGCTCAGGCTCAGCTATGAGGTAGTACTACATGACCTAGTTGTGTGCTGTGCTGTTATGGATGGGGTCCGTGTCATGTGATGACTGCCTCCAGCAGCGTTTGGAGAGGCTCACGCTGCACTTGACATACATGAGATCATAGCGTGTGCCTGTATACATTAAATGTGGTCACACGAGTGGCACATATCAGTCAGAGGTGGTGGGCAGGTGACTTACCTTCAAATATGATGAGAGATGAAACGAGTGCACTCAGAATAAAAATGAACAGAGTACTTGTGGCTCTTTGACTTTCTGTCTCCAACTTATAGAGTGATGGGCTTAAGGTGGAATCAGGTTTGTGGTCTGATCTCCTCTCCAGCCTTGGCTTTGAGTCTTTATCCATCATCCTAGAGAGGCACGCTCAGTCGCAGATGCAGGAAACATGCGAGAAAATCTTTCTGTGCACAGTTTCCTGTTGGAGCTGCTGCTGTGGGGCAGACATCTGTCTCTGCACGGCACTCAGTTTGTGTCTCACAGTTTTTATCATACAGATGCCAAATGGGGTCCCTGTTGGAGACTGAAATTTGACTCTGAACAGCTCGGCCTCAACTTACATTAATGTGGTAATGATGTGATAATAAATACTTATTCCCCCCACTGTGTGTTGTGGGCATGTAAGACATTCATAAAACTCACCAGTCTCAGGTCGGTTATTGTTTACACCTTCTGAGTGGGAGAAAGTGTTCAGTGTACATTTGAGTGTAGTAGGAGTATAAGAAGTACTTTGGCGGTCAGACTATGATGATGAGGTCATCAGAGAGTGGAGATGGAAGTAGGAGGTGAGGACTGAAGTCCTGGAGTGTAGACGCTGTGGGTGGAGCACACATTGCTGATGTAGAGCTGGAGGATGAAGGCACTAACACCTGAAGGGTGTAGTAATAGATTACAGTAAATGATCGAGCAGGGTGCAGAGGGGAATTCCCCTCTTCCCCTTTTCCTCTTCCAGATGGGAAGAGGAAGAGGGACCAGGAATGTGAAAAACTTCATACAGATAAACATCATCATCATCATCATCCATCATCTTCCTCAGCATCAGCAGCAGCCTCACTCTTATACATCTGGTCTTATGTTATGTGCTATAACACATGTTGTGGAGCTTTTCAGGTGGTTTTAATTGGAGGACATGGGTTAAGACTGCAAAGCGTATGAGATGACCCAGTTTCACACATTTGTAGTGTAATAATGTTGTGTAGGTTTGTGCAGGTAGGTTTCTCGCAAAGTTATGCAAAACTGCAGAGAGCAGCGCTTTCTTCATGGTACGGTTTTAAAATTCAGAACTAGCATGCTAAAGCTAACACAACAAGCACATGAGAATCCCTCTGGACAGAGAGGAGACACAGCAGGACCGTCCTGGCTTAAAGAAGAGTGTGCGTGTGTGTAAAGGTCCAGCACACAAAAATGAGCATTCCTCACAATCACACTTCCACTGGTGACAATTTATAACACACATTCATTTAAGCTAAAAGCACTGAAGTCATATGGATGTTCAGTGATTGGTTGATTTTTGGTTAGAACAATATCTGAGTACCCTGGACAGTCACCGAGGAGGCATCCTGGTCAGATGCTGAGCAACAACGACTTTCTCCTTATGTTGAGGAGGAGCAGGTGTACTCCTCCTCCTCCTCACCCTCTCTCTGAGTGCAGACACCTTCAGAGAAATTCATTTCTGCTGCTCGTGGCCATCGGTGAGGGTGTGACTGTAGACTGAGCAGTAAATCACTAGGTCAGTTCTGTCGTTCCCACAGCGAGCTGCAGACTCGTGTTTCCCCGGGAACGGGAAGCACTTACACTCCTCTTGGCTGGTGTCCCCGCCATTTTCTGGCTTGAGTCTTGGAGATTCTCAGTCTCGTTCCCGCCACTTCACTCAAACTGCCCTTCAACACTGATAATTATTCATAAATGTTATTCATCATCTTTTTATTGCTTATGAATGTGTACTGTATGTGAGTGGTTGTTATAGTGGGGCCTTTTCACAGTGACAGCCTGAGCCGTGTGATTTGGGAACATGTTTTGTGCTGCCGGTTGTTACTGCAGAGAGTCGTGCACGCTGAGCTGAGGCTGATCATGTGACCCAGCTGTTACTGTTTGGTTTTAAACACTGACACACACAGGCAGCAGTGTGTGCGTGTGTGTAATACAGCTGTTGTAACAGCTGGATATGGACTTAGCCTCAGTGCCAGCAGCTCCACCCTCAAACTGGAGCTGCGTGTTTTTCTCCACTCGTTCATTTGTTGACTTAAATTTAAATTTACGTTCCACGTGTCAGGGCATGACACTGCGCCGGAGCTCTTTGCCGTTAGACTTTGTAAAGTAGCTCAGTGTAGGTCAGTGCTGAGCGTGCATTGATCCGAAACAATGATAATAATATTGATAATAAACTGGGTTTCAGTTTTTACACACACTAACGAAGTGTACAGAATCCGTTTTGTTCTTTATATTTCTTGCACAGTAGTCAGGTGGACAAAGGAGCTTGCAAAGAAAAACGTCTGGACTTCTTTAGGTTACTTGAAGACATTTCACCTCTCATCCGAGAAGCTTCTTCAGTTCTAAGGTCAAATGGTGGAGAGTCCCAGATATAAACCTAGTGGGAGCCACTTCACAAGCGCATGGCACAACACAGAAGAGCCACCTCCACAGGACAAGACTCAGCAGTCCATCTGCATCTTAAAGATAAAGGACACTCTTTCGAGGATGCCAATGTTCACATTTTGGGCAGAGAGGACAGATGGTTTGAAAGAGGAGTGAAAGAAGCCATCTATGTCCACTGTGAGCGACCATCTTTGAACAGAGGCGGGGGTTTACGACACCAACTCTCTGCCATCTATAATCCAGTTTTGAGACGCCTTAACGCTCACATCCTGGGCCATCTGATCTCAGGAATTCGCATGATAAGGTGGGGCCAGGTTTCACAATGAACTCACCCGAAACTCTGGCTGATTGGGACCCACACCCAGTTTCACACCTTGGCTCAGGCGATTAGAGGATCATAAGGGGGTCCTTTTGTCCCTCTGTGGGGGGTCACTCCCACTAGGTTTATATCTGGGACTCTCCACCATTTGACCTTAGAACTGAAGAAGCTTCTCAGATGAGAGGTGAAACGTCTTCAAGCAACTTAAAGAAGTCCAGACGCTTTTCTTTGCAAGCTCCTTTGACTACGATGACCTGGATGACTGAGAACCTTCACAGATATAGTCAGGTGGAGTACACACGATTTTATTGTGCATGTACAATGACAATAAAGGGCAATTCAATTTTATTCTATGCTATGCTGTTCTATGTTATGCTGTGCTATAATCCATGAATGCAGACACGTCCAAGAAGGTTAAATATTTAACTTTGCTTCCGTGAAATGACATGAGGAAGCTGAAATGTGCAGATTTTCAGCTTTTGGGCTAAGCGTTGT